GGAGCTCTCTGGAGGGCTCAGGCCCCACCCTGGGGAGCCAGGTATTATTGCCTGAAGACTCTAGTTTTCTGCTCTGCAGAATCCAATGTTGACAAGCCCCATAAGCTGGGAATAGTGTCTTGCCCAGATTTTGGGCCGAGTGATGGGCAGGCATTGCTGTACCCATTTTATTGGTGGAAAGAGCTAGGTCCAGACTTTACCTGACTCTCTTTAGGCAGGGCTGAGTCTAGAACTCATTGCTATGCTCTTTTTGTATTGTCCCAAGGTGGGTCACCCAGTGGCGGCTCCTTGATTTTTCTTCTTTCCTCTCATATTCTTTTCCTTTTCTCCCATTCCCTGGAGCTGCACTGTCCAAAACAGCAGCCACTAGTCACATGTGGCCACTGAGTGTGGAAATGTGGCTAGTTCAGATTGACATGTGCTGTAAGGGTAAAATCCACCCTGCAGTTTGAAGACTTAGTACAAGAAAAGAATGTGAGCTATCTCATAAGTAATTTTTTATATTCATTATATGTTGACATAATACTCTTTTAGGCGCATTGGGTTAAATAAAATACGTTATGACAATTACTTTTTGATGTGTTTAGGAGACACTTTAAAATGACTTATGTGGCTCTGCTTCTGTTTCTGCCGGGCAGTGCTACTCTTGAGCGTGGTCTGTGAACCAGCAGCATGGGTGTCACCTGGGAGCATGTGGGAAATGCTGAATTTCAGGTGCTACTCCAGACCTGCTGAGTCCAAACTGGCACTTTTACAAGATTCCTAGATGATTCTACAGTTCGAGAAACTCAGAGCTCAGCTGAAGCTAGATAGCACCCTGCTTGCTGTGAGCCTGAGCCCACTTGTAAAACAGGAGTCCTGGCTGGGCACAGTGGCTCATGCCTCTAATCTCTGCACTTTGGGAGGCCGAGGTGTGTGGATCACCTGAGGTCAAGAGTTCGAGACCAGCCTGGCTAACATGATGAAACCCCATTTCTACTAAAAATACAAAAAGCCGGGGGTGGTGGCATGCGCCTGTAATCCCAGCTACTCGGGAGGCTGAGGCAGGAGAATCGCTTGAAACCGAGAGGTGGAAGTTATAGTGAGCCAAGATCCTGCCACTGCACTCCAGCCTGGGCAATAAGAGTGAAACTCCATCTTAAAACCAAACAAACCAAACAAGACTCCTGACCCCAAAACTCCTTCCTAGAATCCTGAGTCAGAACAGCAGCAGGCTGAGGGCTGTGAAAAAGGTTAATCCTGCTCCCACCCCCTGGCATTAGCTCTGGGGGTGGAAATTTCACCTTGGGGACTGGGAGAGGGACTTTGGGGACTGAGAGAGGGACCTTGGGGAGGACCCCTCAGGCCTCAAGGACCATAGGTGAGGTCACAGTGACTGAGGGAACTCCCTCAGGGAATGTAAGAGCAGTATAGGCTTGAATATTTCAATTCAAAGACCTTCCAAAAGGAACACTGGAAAGTTTTGGGATTTGTAGTCAACCAAAACAGAGACCACAATAACCCCAGCAGCGTCAAACAAATCTCAAGGTTTGCCTCAGCATGTTTGAACAGTGTTTGCCCATCCACACCCTGCTCTGTGACTTTCCCCAAGGTGTAATTAATGACTTGTTGGGCTTGACAGATGCAAACATGTTCTGAGTCTCCAGGTCCCAGACGCCAGGGAAAGTGTGGAGACACAGGGGGTGGGCGGCAGGACTGCCGCGTGTAGCTGTCCCCAGGACACAACCTAAGCTGACTCCCCTGCCAGGGCCCTCTGCCCGGCCTGTTCTCTGAGATTTGCCCCAAGGCTTTGGCGTGGGGCTGGTTTGCCACCAGGAGAGAGGCACTGATGCCCAGCAGCTCATAGTCACGCCGATGGCTGTGGCCACCTTTATTCTTTTTTTTTTTTTTTTTTTTGAGACGGAGTCTCGCTCTGTCGCCCAGGCTGGAGTGCAGTGGCCGGATCTCAGCTCACTGCAAGCTCCGCCTCCTGGGTTCACGCCATTCTCCTGCCTCAGCCTCCCATGTAGCTGGGACTATAGATGCCCGCCACCACGCCCGGCTAATTTTTTTTTGTATTTTTTAGTAGAGATGGGGTTTCACCGTGTTAGCCAGGATGGTCTCGATCTCCTGACCTCGTGATCCGCCCGTCTCGGCCTCCCAAAGTGCTGGGATTACAGGCTTGAGCCACTGCACCCGGCCCTGGCCACCTTTATTCTAAAGTCACAGTCTGTTGCCACGCCTCAAGTCTTTGTCCCCTGCCAGCTGAGTTTAGGGGGGTGGGGTAAGGGTTTTAGGTGAGGTCTCCACCTGCCAAGAATCTATTCCTAAAGAAGTTGATTCTGGTCACCTGAGTCTGACTCTCATTTGCAGATTTTGCAAAATCTGACCTTTTTTTGTGTTTGGAGACAGGGTCTTACTTTGTCACCCAGGCTCGAGTGCAAGTGATATGATCATGGCTCACTGTAGCCTCGACTTCCAGGGCCCAAGCAATCCTCCTACCCTCAGCCTCCCGAGTAGCTGGGACTGCAGGCATGCACCACCATGCCTAGCTAATTAATTTTTTTTTTTTTCTTTTAAGAGACAGGGTTTCACCATGTTGCTCAGTCTGGTCTCGAACTCCTGGGCTCAAGCAATCCTCCTGCCTCGGCCTCCCAAACTGTTCCCAGCTGAGGGGACCCTAAGAGTAAAGGCTCTGGAGGAGTAAGGGGCCCTGGGTGGAGTGGAGAAGGCCGGTGAGACAGGGTGAGGGGCCCCCTGTACAAGCCTGGGAGTGGGGAGTCAGAAGAAGGTGGACTTTATCTGGAAGGCTGTCGGGGTCATTTGGGGTTATGGTGTTTTAATTGCGATGGGTGGATTTTCATATAAACTTGATTCTTCAAATCAAAAGCCAGTTTGTTTTTGTTTCCTCTCTGGGCTTGAAGAGCTCATTGAAAGCAGCTGGATCAGGGCAAGGCCCAGGCCTGCTTCTCCCTTAGGGCTCTTGGGCAGCAGCTCTGGCTGGGAGCTTTACAAAGGCAGATCCCATTTCTCTGGGTGCACTGATCTGGAGGTGGGGTCCAGGAATCTGGGTGCCCAGAACCAGGGTGAGGAAATAACCTGGTGGGTAATGGGATTTGCTTGCCTCAGTAGTTGGGAGCTTTACAAAAACGAGATTTTTTTTTTAGGAGAAGCCGTAAGAAGGTCTGAGGAAGGGCCTTCTTTGGATTGGAAGTCGATTATTGCTACTTGGTGAAGAGAATGCTTTTGCAAATACCTATTCCGTGCTGTGCGGCCTGGGGAAGGACTGCTCCTGAGCCCCTCCGTCCATCCCTTGCACATCCACGGTACCTGAGCCCACTGCTTTCTTCTCCACTTGGCCAGGTGTGGAGGCTTTGCCTGGGAGAAGAGCTGCCAGATGCTGTAGGATTCTTCTCTGGTGTGTGGGGGAAGGGGAGCGAGATTAGAACCAAGGTCCAGTTATCAGCAGAAAGGCTGCCTCCACACAAAGACGGGGAAGTGGAGGATCTTAAATCCATGTGTGGTGGGCAGGATTCCGAGATGGCAGGATTCCAAGATTCCCACCCCTGGTGTACATAGCCTGCACAATGCCCCTGCCCCTGAATGTGGTGGGACTGTGGATAGGAGGGGATATCACCTACCCCTACCCCGATTAGATTACGCAGTTTAAGACTGAAGAGAGACTGTCCCGCTGTTTTTGCAGAAGGAAGCTACCATATTGTAGCAGGGCCCGGAGCTAGGACCTGAGACAGCCTATAGGAGCAGAGAGTGAGCCCTAGCCAGCAAGAAAGCAGAGACCTCAGTCCTACAGCTGCAAGGAACAGAAATCTGCCAAGAGCCTGTATGAGATGCACCTGGAAGTGGATTCCGCCCTCATCAAGCCTCCCACTGCGAATGTGGCCCAGCTGACACCTTGACTTCAGCCTGGTGAGCCCCTGAGCAGAGAATTTAGTCACGCCTGGACTTCTGACCTACAGAACGGTCAGATGATTAATGAGTGTTGTTTTAAGCTCCTAAGTTTGTGGTAATTTGTTATATAGTAATGGAAATATAGCAGGGAACACCTCTGAGTTTCTGGTGGTCTCTGGGTCCTTGGAAGTCAGGGCCTGCAGGGCTGTGGTCATGGTGGCTCAGTTCCTGGTGGCCAGTCTAGAGCCCTGGGCTCCCTGGCTTACCTCCCACAGAGCCCCCAGTCACATGGCAGCCTACTTTTTATGGCCTGGCACAGCCATATTTTACTGTCAAATTAGTAGGAATAACAGCAGCATTTTAGTGGCTGATTGGGAGCCGTATATTAGCGATTGTATTAATAAGTGCACAGTGACAGGAGACCAGTGAGAGTGAGAAAATGAGACACAGTATTTATCCCCAGTGCAAAATCTTTTTTATTATTAAAGACATTGGGTTAACTGAGGATAGATTTAATGCCTGCTGGTAATGTTACTGGATAATCAGCGGCCTAGGGGCCCCACCGCAGCCTGAGCTCCGGAGTTCTCATTTGGGGCCATTGGGTACCTTGGAGAAGCCCCAGAGCTGGAAAGCTGCAAATGTGGACACTTTCTCCAGACTCTCCCCTGGGGCCTGCTGCTCCCTATGGGTGAATCCAGGGCAGCTGATATGACAGGGTGAGTCCCTCACTCATTTGGAGATGAGCAACTTGAAGTTTGTGCAAGTGCTAGGCATCTGAAGAAAGAGATTGCGGTCACAGCATCAGAATTGGTGCAGGTCCATCCTGGAGTTGGGACTCGCTGCTGGAAGCTTTGTTTCTCTAGGGGAAGCTGCCCAGGAGAGGGCTGTACATCGGGAGGGTCTTGCGTTCTGGGGCCAGCCAGCCTCTGCACCTCACCAGTACCCTATTACGTCTGGTGCCCAGCTGGTTTTGCACCCCATGTGCCCAACCTTGCAAAGGGGCTGCATATGCTTAGCACTGGCTGAAGGAGCCCCAGGGCTAAGGGCCACCCAGTGGGAGGCATTTGGGCTGGCGAGGGGACTGGACTGAGATTCCCTGCAGGCTCTTAGTCCTCTGAACATTTTAGAGGAGGGAAGGAGGGTGGAAGATGAGAAAGGAGAGAAAGGCAGAGAATCCAGAGATGCCGGCAGCCAGTGATCCCAGCCAGGCCTGCCTCCTATGGACAGGTAAGCCCTAGACCTCTTTGCTGCTTCCACGTGGTGCTCCTTGGCAGCCCTGCTCAGCCCTTTTTTTGCTAGTCTCTCTCAAGTACTCAGGGGTGAACTTCTTTTTGCACCTTCCACCTGCTCTCTCAGCAGACCCTGAGAGGAGAAGGCAAGTGATGGCAGGTGAGGGTCTCATGTGACGTTGTTGACAGGGAACATGGCATAAGGGAAAGAATGTGGGCTTTGGAGCACCATCACCTGGGGCCTTCCCCGCTGGCCCTGTGCTGTGTGTTGGGTGGCACTGGCTCTGGGCACACGGCTAGCCCCTCTGAGCCTTACTGTCCTCTGCTGTCAACAACACCATCTCTACCTCACAGTGGGAAGTGGTTGTAAGGACCAAAGGAGAGAATGGACATGTGTAAAGGGCTGTGTAGGCCAGCTGGTGCATAGCAGGTGCTCAGTATGGAGCATCTTATTATTTCTAGAAGAACTCAGGCTCCTGTATTGTTCTCAGAAGAACTTCCTGGTGGATATGGAGGCCAGTTTGTTCACTTGTTTGTTCTTTCTGCAAGTGTTTGGTGCTGGGTGCGGTGACACCGTGCATGGGAAACAGTACGTGCTCAGTAGATATTTATTGTCTGGATGGCTACAGAGATTATAGACAAAGTTCTTCCCCTTTGGGAGCTTAACCTATGGGTGATGGTGGTAGTGGAGCTGCTGAGTGGGGATATTTTCTGATTTTCCCAGGCCAGTTGATCTTACTTCGATATTCAGGGCCAAAGAAGCCTTGAAGAAGCCCCTATCTCAGTGGGCCAGAGAAATTGCCTCCTTCATCCATAGTCTGACACTCTTGTGGACACAGCCAGGAATTGCAGGGAGAGAGGTGACTGTGATTTCATCCCAGCTGGAAAAGACAATGCAGATGTCCTTAGCCAGTGGCAAGGTGTCAGTGGTACCTTGTGGACATTGCCACCTTGTGGGCATGAGGAGGTGTTCATCCCCTTCCTAACCATGCAGTTCCTCTGCCTCCATCAAACCTAGAGCACATACAAAACTGCACAGCAAGTACTTAGCTGAGAAACAAGCAATCATCTTTGGAAAATCTTTGTGTGCTATTCTGGAAGACTTGAGTGAATTCCCGGGGAGGGGTCCCCCTGTAGAAAGATTGAGAAGGGAGTGATTTACCTCCCCTTATACTTCAGTTCTTTTTGGAGTAAAGGTCCTTGCCTCCAGGTTGAACTCCTCATTCTCAAATCCTGTGTAGACTTTTAGCCTGGTAGCTCTGGCTTGAATAGCCAGCTTTAGAAGCAGTTGGTAAAATAAAGGTTGACTTTGTTGCTGCTAAAGTTGAAGAAAGCAGATGGGCCTGTGAGCACATGGAGGGCATCTCAAGGGCCCAGGAGCTGGCAGCCTTTGGGCTCTGGGACCTTCACCTTCAGAGGCTAATTGTGCAGAGACCAGCAAGAGTCCAGGACCCTGTGATGGTTCAACCGTTCTGAGACTGAGGACTGGAAAATCTGAGTGTTTATTGCCTCCATTTTTTATTATCAGCAAAAGTTTAATTACAGCTCTCACTAAACCTACTACCTTCTGCCAGCATTTACAAGGCAATAAATTTCCCCTTCTCTCCTTACACAATCTGAACCTCCAATAGGGCTGTGCATATGCACTGGAAGATATTGATTCCCCAAAGAAATTATAACAGCATTTGTTCTCAAGTAAACACACAGAGAGGCTATTACAACACTGAGGAAGAGTCGATTGTCTCTGTTTTATTAAACAACACAGCTCTCAATTGGAAACACATCTAAATTATCAAGAGATTGGTAGGACAGGCAGGCAGCAATGCCTGTAATGAGGCTTTGAGTGGGAGGGCTCTCTAATGTGGAGGGTAGAAGGAAGGTTTGTCCCTTTCTCCTTGCTTCTTACTCTCTCCCACCTCTCACCCCTGCAGCCCTTTAGCATTGAAGGGGCATTGACCTTGGCTCTCAGCTAAAGAGTGGGCAGCTCACTGTAAGCTGGCAGAAATGAAGCTCACACAAGACCTGCCAACTGGCTAATGGCCCCATGTGTATTGGCAGACAGTAAACAAAAGCCTTTTAAAAACTTCTTGTTGTGTTACTGGCAGGTGGAAAAGGTTGATGCATTCATCAACCTAATTTGGAAAATGGTACATGGCCCATCTTTGCTTTGGAACACCCAAAAAAGCATACCACTCAGCAAAGGGGCGCTCAGCCATGACTTAACTCCCATAAGGCAATTTGAGACACAATGTTTCACTATGAACAACTTAGCTCCACAGTCCCACAAGAGCAGTGTGGGATCAGAAGTCTAGGGATGCTCTGTTCAATGTTTGCATGTTCTATACAATGCTCATGGGGTGTTCATTTCTGTCCTGTTAATAAAAAGATAACCCCTCAACCCACTTTCTGTCATTAAATAAATTCATGAAAATGGGGATGAAACAAAGTTTCTTTGCTACAGGACTTTTCAGAGGCTTTATGCTAATATGCATTATGAATCTGGAAGAGGGGGAAAGAATATGTTAAATTCTCTGAAAAAAAATTTTAACAGAATTCATACTTTGTACAAACAGCGTTTTTACAGAATATTCTTTGTGCAGTACTCATCTGCAGGAATAAAGCAAAGGTAGAGTGGACCATGAGGAGTGGTGTGGATTTTCTTTATTGGGCTTCTAGAAACCAGCCTTGGGAGTGAGTCTGAGTGGGGCAGCAGGAGCCTCAGGCCATGTCTGCCTTAGCTTTGCTAAAATGGTGCCAAAGCTCTCACTGGGTCTCTGAGAAGATGAGTTCAGCTGAGCTGACACAAGGGCTCCAACACAGCGGCATCTCCATTAGAACACAGTCATGGCAGTCTTTTCTCAATGACAGAAAACTCCAAGTTAACGGAGAGGGGATTTTCTACTCCTAGAAATGGCAGACTGACTTGTTTGAGACGAACCTCCTATCAAGGACAACTGGAGCCATTGTGTTGTATTTTCCAGATGGCCACATCACTAGCTCGCCCATGCTGTGTGCCCATGTGTGTGATGTCTCCTTACAGGGAGACATTGACTCACCTGCACTGAGAGGTGGCTTTTATGTTTCTTCCCTTCAACACAGACGGGCCTTTGTAACTGTCATGACCAGCAGAATGCAGTAGAAGTGAAACTGTGTGACTTTCAAGACTATGCCATAGAAATTACCTCCTGCCTTTCCTTTTCTCCCCTGGGATACATGCTTTTGGTAGCCCTTAGCCAATTTGTGAAAGTTCAACTAATCTGAAGCTTCCGTGTGGTAGCAAGTTATAGGGAGAGGGTACATAAAGATAGTTAGAGACACTGGAGAAGCCCAATTGCTAGCAATTTGAGTTTTCCCAGACTAGGTACCAGACATGTGAGTGAAGCAGCCTTTGAGATGAGCCCAGCCAAAGCCAGCATCTGACTGCAACCTCATGGGAGGCCCCAAGCTAGAATTGTCCAGTTGAGCTGCTCCTGAATTCCTGACTACAGTAACTGTGGGAGATAATAAATGACTGACATTGTTTCAAGCCACTAAGTTTTAGGGGAATTTGTTTTGCTGCCATAGTAATTGGAATACAACTCTACAAAATTAAATAAAACATGAGTTGAAGTCTTTGGAAAGCTATCAAGGTGACAAGAGCTTGGCTAAAAGGGCCAAGATTCTTGGAAGAAGAAAAATCCTGGCCAGGCGCGGTGGCTCACGCCTGTAATCCCAGCACTTTGGGAGGCTGAGTGGGGTGAATCTCCTGATGTCAGGAGTTCGAGACCAGCTTTACCAACATGGCGAAATCCTGTCTTTACTAAAAATACAAAAATTAGCTGGGTGGCAGGTGTCTGTAATCCCAGCTACTGGGGAGGTTGAGGCAGGAGAATCACTTGAACCTGGAAGACACAGGCTGCAGTGAGCCGAGACTGTGCCATTGCACTCCAGCCTGGGTGACAGAGTGAGACTCCATCTCAAAATATATATATGTATGTATATATAAAATAAAAATAAAGAAAGGAAATCCCAAGGGGAGAGCCATATACTTGGTGCTACTTTTACCCAAGTTTGCTGACGTGAATGCAGCTGCTGAGAGGCTGAGCAGAAAGTCGCTCGAAATGCCTGAGATGTTGATCACAGCTTTTGGCATTTTCATGGGGCTTCAGGGGAAAATTGTGGTTCTACCAGATAGGAAGTCCTGGTAAACACCTCCCCAACTTTGAGTTGAAATTTATAAGAATAAAGTTGATCTTGAAATAAGCCAGCTCTCACAAAGGCCATCATTAAATCAGCTCAGCTATTTACTGGATTAAGGTCACCTCTTCCTACTCTAAATGCCACCAGAAACAAACATGAACCCTCTCTTGAACGAGGCCACATCGTCCAGAAACTCAGATTATCTCTACAGCATCTGGAATCCAGTAAAGAAATAACTAGGTGAGCACAAAGACAATAATTGACTGAAAACCAAGAGACAGTGCCTGTAGGAGAATAGACTTACAGGAAACCTGGAAATTGGAGTTATCCATCATGAGCTTTAAAATGACTGTGGTTAATATGTTCAAGAAGTGAGCAACAACACTGAGACTTCTGTGGAGAATTGGAAACTATATAATCAAATAGAAATTTGAGAATTGAGGAATCAATAACTGAGGCTTCATAGAGGGATTTAATAGCATATTAGGTGCAGTGGAGGAGCAGATTAGTGAGCTGGAAGAAGGATCAGTAGAAAACTTCCAGTTTAAAAGACAGAAAAAAACATGATAGGAAGTACAGAAAAGAGCGTAAGAGACATATGTGAGATGGTGAGATGGTCTAACATGCGTAACTGGAGTCTTGGGTGGGGGTGGGGGGTAGAAGCCATATTTGAAAAGATAATGGACAAGAATTTCCCCAAACATACTAAAACATCAAGCCACAGATTCAAGAAGCACTATGAACCCCACATAGAAAAAATTAAAAGGAATACACCTAGACACATCACAATAAAATGACTGAAAATCAAGGAACAAGAGG